TTAGTTAGTCTGTCCGCCGTTTCTCCCGCCTGTACATTTATTTGTCCATCCGCCCACCCAGTCATCCATTCATTAGTTTGTCCGTCCGCCCGCCCATCCGTCTGTCTGTCTATCAGTTAGTCTTTCTGTCGACCCGTCTGTCTTCCGTCTGTCCGTACATCTTGTTCGGTCTGTCTATCCGTTAGCCTGCGTCAAACATTTCAGATAAATTTCTCGACCAATCATCTGACCTACGAGTCAATAATCACCGTTTATAGACGCAGAAATTTGGTACGGTGAACACGTATTATAATAGCAGTACATATAATACTTCCAGTTCAAGTATGACCGGTCCTCTATAGTTGATATCGGTAAGACATTTAAGCATTTTAGTACAGCTCGGTTTATATGCTATAATTATTGTACCCCTAAGGTATTTTTAACGACATCACGCCTTTTCAATATTACCGACGAGCTATATATTTATGGCACTAAGGCTGTAAAACGTCTTTCAGTATTTCATTAGTTCTACGACAGCCGCGACTCGCTCGTTCACACCTATACACGATGGAAGATTACAGGACGTGGTTCATGATCCTCATTCTACCAGCGGCTCTTCTTTCTGCAAACGGCCGCTCGCTGCCAGAGACACCTGGTGAGCAGCTGTGCAAACTCTCTCGTAACATTTACGCGTCGTTATCCTTCTGTGATTAATGAGCTTATAGCTGCGGTGTGCGTACACTTAGTAAACAATATGACGTACATGCCTACACGCGTGTGCTATACCCGTGTGGAATAATCATTGACTTCGTCGTCTTGAATGGCTTCATCGAATAAATCTACCCGCTGTGAAGAATGATGGAAAGAGTATGTTAGAATGTCGATACATATAGTCGCCACGTGGATGAAGTATACTGATGTAGTGTTACACTGATAATGATGTGTAGGCCTACTGATGTAGTGTTACACTGATAATGATGTGTAGGCCTACTGATGTAGTGTTACACTGATAATGATGTGTAGGCCTACTGATGTAGGGTTACA